ACCTAGAACAAAGATGGGTGCAGGTATATCCCGATGCATGACCCAATCAAACAATGAAACTCAACTCTGGGAGTCATCAGAACTGTCCCAAAAGAGGCACTGTCCTAGCACTGCGATTGCTGAAAGGATAGAACATAAGCTTGGAGCCTTATCACTGTATAGGAAGAGCTTACCCAACAAAGAAAATGCTAAGAAATAGAAAGATGAAGTCCAAATGGCATTATGCAGCCCTGGATTCAGCCAAGGCTGAACTTTGCACATGCATGAGTCAATAACTTTTTCTTTTAGATTGAAACCAGTCTGAGCTGGATCTTCTGACTTGTGCAACTGTAAGAGTCCTGACTAATATAATTACACATAGTTAACAGTACTGATTCATTACATTAGCCTTTTACCATGCCAAGTGCTTATATGAAATCTTCCCTTAGAGTTTATTTCTCCTCCACAAAAGCCATATGCTAGAATACTTACCTAATGAATTGTTTCTGGATTTTTATATCCTAAAATAATCTACAAAAGTGGCCTAAGTGTCCATCAGCAGATGAATGGATAAAGAAAACATGGTACAGATACAACGGAGTACTATTCAGCCGTAAAAAGGAATGAGATAATGTCATTTGCAACAATATGAATGGAACTGGAGGTTATTACGTTAAGTGAAATGAGCCAGACACCAAAAGACAAACTTCACATGCTCTCACTTTATTTGTGGGAGCTAAAAATTAAAGCAATTAAACTCATGGAGACAGAGAGTAGAAGGATGATTACCAGAGGCTGGGGAAGGTAGTGGAGGCACAAGGGGAAGTGGGGATGGCTAATGAGTACAGAAAGTAAATGGGGATGGATACCCCCATTTACCATGATGTGATTATTGTGCATTGTATGCCTATATAAAAATATCTCATGTACCCTGTAAGTATATACACTTACTACGTACCTACAAAAATTTTAAGATAAAATAGTTCACAATTTTTTTTTTTTTGACATAGAGTCTCACTCTGTCACCCAGGCTGGAGCGCCATGGTGCCATCTCGGCTCACTGCAACCTCCACCTCCCGGGTTCATGCAATCATCCTGCCTCAGCGTCTCCAGTAGGTGAGACTACAGGTGGGTATCACCAAGTCTGGCTAATTTTTTATATTTTTAGTAGAGTTGGGGTTTCATCATGTTGGCAAGGCTGGTCTCGAACTCCTGACCTCAAGTGATCCACCTGTCTGAGCCTCCCAAAGTGCGGAGATTACAGGCATGAGCCACTGTGCCCAGCCAACAAATTCTTTTTTTTTTTTTTTTTTTTTTTTTTTTTTTTTTTTTTTGACTAGTCAAGTGCAGTAGTGAGAAGGGGGGAAAGAGTAGAACAAGGAGTTCGATCTGCAACTGACTGTGAACAATCAATTAACAAATTATTTTTAATAGGATAAAATAGGGGAAATATCATTACTGTAATATAATTCTTATTGTCCAGTAAAGGATATTTATCTCACCAAAAAATAAATAATTCTTATGAAAAACATCTTCAAAACAAAAAGAGATAGTAGTCAGGAGTCGTGGCTCATGCCTGTAATCCCAGCTCTTTGGGAGGCCAAGGCAGGCAGATCACCTGAGGTCAGAAGTTTGAGATCAGCCTGGCCAGCATGGTGAAACCCAGTCTCTACTAAAAATACAAAAATTAGCTGGATGTGGTGGTTCATGCCTGTAATCCCAGCTACTCAGGAGGCTGAAGCAGGAGAATTGCTTGAACCCAGAAGTTCGAAGTTGCAGTAAGCTGAGATAGCACCACTGCACTCCAACCTGGGTGACAGAGGGAGACTCTGTCTCAAAACAAACAAACAAACAAAAAACAGAAACAAAAAGCAAAAAAAGATAGTTCAATTCATTCTCCCTTCCTTCCTTCAAATATTTGTTTCAGAAAATACTTGTTTAAGAAAAATGCAATACTAAACTCTGAGGGATAGCAAACTGAGTAAGATATTTTTTAGACTCTATAATTTAGCAGGACAGATAAAACATGTATGCAAGTAAGTTATTCAGTGTTCCCTGAGAATTGGAGAATAAACATAAACACTATCTAGAAGCAGTTAAAAAAATCTTGTAATATTATCAAAGCTGTAAGAGTTCTTGGAGATGTGACAACTCTCTCAACACATGGTAGAGGAAATTGCAGTTGAGAGAGCTAGTGACTTAGTTCCCATAGCTAGTCAGAGACAAAGTTCCACTAGGAACACGACCTCTTAGACACAGTCCAACACTCTTTCTTATTACCCCACCCTACCTCTGTTAGGAGAGAAGCCAAATACCAAGAAGTTTCTTGAACTATAATTTTTCTTCAGCACAACCTGAAATGGAGAGAGAATCTCCAAGACCACACTAAAATAAGTTTGATTCTCTCTCCCTCTCCCTCTCTCTCTCTCTCTCTCTCTCTCTCTCTCTCTCTCTCTTGCATTTATAGAGGTAAAACAGGAAAGACTCTCCCTCAGTCCTCAGAGTTTGGCTTCAACTTTCTGTTATGGTTTTTCTTTCATTGACTTTGTTTTTTATTAGTCTAACCTTGAATGTGCAACAACTTTGCCTGAGCAAAATCCCAAACAGCTTGTTTTGAACATGTTTGTTCTCTTCTCTCTTCTGGGCAAGCTAATGGAGTCTGGGAGTGCAAACTTTAGTTACCTAAGTTAAACTTAATCCAGGAAGTCTTCCTTGGCTGATTTCCCAGTTTGGCAGTGCCAGTCTGAACAAAAGACTAAGATATTGCAAATTCTAATTCTCTTGTGAGTAAGAGCTTTGTCTAGGGAAAATAAAGAAAATACAACTATTCAAAACTAGCACTATTATTTGTAGACAGCTTTTTGTCAAGAACTTACAAGGACAATTCATTCTCATTAGAAATAATTTTTGTGAAGGACAAATTTTTACAGTGTCACTGAGATGGCAACTGCCTACAAATAATTTGAGATAGTAGATTAAAAACTTAGTTTTAAAGAACAAAGCAGAGGTCTCACACTCCCTGTTTTCAAAACTTACTACAAAGCTACAGTAATCAAAACAGTGTGGTACTGGCATAAAGACAGACCAATAGAGTACCATAGATAGCCTGGAAACAGATCATTGCATAGTCAAATGATGTTTGACTACAGTGCTGAGACCATTTAATGGGGAAAGGACAGTCTTTTCAAGAGCAAAGGGTACTGGAAAACCGTATACCCACATGCAAAAGGATGAAGTTGCACCCTTACCTTGTACCATATACAAAAAACAATTCGAAGCCAGGTGTGGTGACCCACAACTGTAGTCTCAGCTAGTGGGAGGGTGAGGCAGGAGGATCACTTGAGTTCAGGAGTTCAAGGCTGCAGTAAGCTATGACCATGCCATTGTATGCCAGTCGTAGTGACGGAGTGACAGCATTACTCCCCATTGCCCCAAATCTCAAAATAGATTAAAGACATAAACATAAGAGCGAAAACTATAAAGCTCTTAGAAGAAAATGTAAGAGAAAAGCTTCATGATATTGGATTTGGCAATGATTTGATATGGCACCAAAAGCACAGGCAACAAAAGAAACAAGAGATAAATTGGACTTCATCAAAATTAAACACTTTTATATATCAAAGGATACAACCAACAGAGTACAAAGGCAACCCACAGAATGGGAGAAAATATTTTCAAATCCTTTATCTGATAAGGAATTAATATCCAGAATATATAAAGAACTCCTACAACTCAACAACATAAAAACTCACAACCCAATTCAAAAGTGGGCAAAGGATTTGAACAGACATTTCTCCAAAAAAGACATACAGATGGCCAATAAACACATAAAAAGATGTTCAACATAATTAACCATTAGGAAAATGCAAACCAAAGCCACAGTGAGGTACCACTTCACATCCATTAGGATAGCAAAAGAAAGAGGGAAAGGGAAGGGGAGGGGAGGGAAGAGAAAGGGAAGGGAAGGAAAATAGGGAGGGAAGCAATATCAAATTTTGGCAAGGATGTGGAGAAATTGAAACACTTGTGTGTTGTCAGGGGCCTGTAAAGCCACTGTAGAAAATACTACGGAGTTTCTTCAAAAACAAAATTTATTTCTTTTCTTTCTTCCTTTTTTTTTTTTTTTTTCAGACAGAGTCTAACTTTGTCACCCAAGCTGGAGTGCAGTGGCACAATCTCAGCTCACTGCAACCTCCACTTCCCAGGTTCAAGTGATTCTTCTGCTTCAGCCTCCGAAGTAGCTGGGATTACAGGCACCCAACATTGTGTCTGGCTAGTTTTTGTACTTTTAATAGAGACAGGGTTTCACCATGTTGGTCAGGCTGGTTTCGAACTCCTGACCTCAAGTGATCCACCTGCCTCAGTTTCCCAAAGTGCTGGGACCACACCCAGCTAATTTTTGTATTTTTTGTAGAGATGGGCTTTTGCCATGTTGCCTAGGCTGATCTTGAACTCCTGAGCTCAAGCGATCTGTCCATCTTGGCCTCCCAAAATGCTGAGATTACAGGTGTGAGACACCACACCCATCCAGAAGATTTTTTTCTTAATGTGAATGTAATTTGACCAAGGTTTTTTTTTTTTTTTTTTTTTTTAGATGGACTGTCACTCTGTTGCCCAGGCTGGAGTGTAGTGGCATGATCTCAGCTTACTGCAACCTCTGCCTCCTGGGTTCAGGAGATTCTCTTCCCTAAGCCTCCCTAGTAGCTGGGACTACAGTCGTCCACCACTACACCTAGCTAATTTTTGTATTTTTAGTAGAGACGAGGTTTTACCATGTTGGCCAGGCTGGTCTTGAACTCCTGACCTCAGGTGAACTGCCTGCCTCAGCCTTCCAAAGTGCTGGGATTACAGGTGTGGGCCACCGTGCCTGGCCTTGACCAAGTTATGATGCATTTTTCTCTTTTAAAAAAATCCCCTCCTTTAACAGAGCTGTAAAGTGGCCAAATCTGAGAACAATTACATTCATTTTAGTTATAATAAATTTAATGTTTGGAAATATTTTTTAAAAGTTTAAACATAAGGCCGGGCGCGGTGGCTCAAGCCAGTAATCCCAGCACTTTGGGAGGCCGAGGCGGGTGGATCACGAGGTCAAGAGATCGAGACCATCTTGGTCAACACGGTGAAACCCCGTCTCTACTAAAAATACAAAAAATTAGCTGGGCATGGTGGTGCGTGCCTGTAATCCCAGCTGCTCAGGAGGCTGAGGCAGGAGAATTGCCTGAACCCAGGAGGCGGAGGTTGCGGTGAGCCGATCGCGCCATTGCACTCCAGCCTGGGTAACAAGAGCGAAACTCCGTCCAAAAAAAAAAAAAAAAAAAAGTTTAAACATAAAATTACCATATGATCCAGCAATCCTACTTCTAAGTATACACTCAAAAGAAGTGAAAGCAGGAACTCAGATATTTGCTTACCAGTGTTCATAGCTTTATTTACAATTGCCAAAAAGTGAAAACAACCCAAATGTCCACCTGAAAATGAATAGACTTTTTGTTGTTGTAGAGATGGGGGCCTACCTATTTACCAGGCTGGTCTCAAACTCCTGGCCTCAAGTTTTAAAGCAGGAGTGAAAGTTTATTAAAAAGCTTTAGAGCAGGAACAAAAGGAAGTAAAGTATATGTGGAAAGGGTTCAAGTGTGCAATCTGAGAGATCAAGTTCACAATTTGACTTTTGACTTGGAGTTTTGATTTTTGTTTTTTTTTTGAGATGGGATCTTGCTCTGTTGCCCAGGCTGGTTTTGAACTCCTGGGCTCATGCAATGCTCTCACCTCAGTCTCCCATATTGCTAGGATTATAGGCATGAGCCACCGCACCAGGCCTGACTTGTAGTTTTATACGTTGGCATGCTTCTGGGGAGTTGTGTCCCTTCTCCCCTGATTCCTCCCCTTTGGGGTAGCTGTCGGCATGCAAGGTGGCCTGCCAGCACTTGAGAGGTGCTACATGTGCAGTGTGTTTACTGAAGTTGTATGCATGCCCAATTGAGGCATTTTTCCCTTACCACTTGTGTGTTTATACTCTGCCATTTTGCCTCTTAGTGACTTGAGGTATTTTTTCCTTACCAGTTAAATGTTCCTAAAGGAAGGTCACATACCAGTTAAACTGTCATTTTGCCTCTTATTGCACATGCTTGAGCCCACTCACCCAACTCCTGAGATCATTTTTTTTTTTTTGAGACTCAGTTTGGCTCTTGTTGCCCAGCTGAAGTGCAGTGGCGCGATCTCAGCTCACTGCAACCTGCACCTTCTGGGCTCAAGAGATTTTCCTGCCTCAGCCTCCTGAGTAGGTGGGATTACAGGTGACTGCCTCCATGCCCACTAATTTTTGTGTTTTTAGTAGAGACCGGGTTTTACCATATTGGCCAGGCTGGTCTTGAACTCCTGACCTTAGGTGATCTGCCCACTTCCCTCCCAAAGTGCTGGGATTACAGGCCTGAGCCACCATACCTGGTCAACTAATTATTATTTCAAAGAGGCAGTTTAAAAACTGCCTGGCCATCACCTGACATTCCTGATGATGTGGTTGTGGTGGGGGGGAGTTCTCTCCTGCCCTGCTGATGTCTAACTACCAACTATAACAACTGGAAAGGACAAATATTGCATTCCACTTATATGGGGTACCTAGAGCAATCAAACTCACAAGACAAAGTAGAATGGTGTCTGCCAGGGGCTAGAGGGAGGAGGGAAAGGGACATTATTATCTAATGGATATAGCATTTCAGTTAGGGATGATGGAAAAAAGGTTTTAGAGATGAATAATGGTGATAGCTACCCAATAACGGGAACGTACCTAATGCCACCAACCTGTACACTTTAAAATGGTAAATGTTATATACATATTTCCAAAATTTAAAAAAAGTTTTACCAGGCACATGGACTCATACCTGTAATCCCAGAACTTTGGGAAGATAGGCAGGAAGATCACTTGAGCCCAGAATTCGAGACCAGTCTGGGCAAATAGTAGGACCTTGTCACTACAAAACAACAAAACAGCCAGTTGTGGTGGGGTACACCTGTAGTCCCAGCTAATCTGGAGGCTGAGGTGGGAGAATTGCTTGAGCCCAGGAAGTCGAGGCTACAGCAAGCCATGATCACACCACTGCACTCCAGCCTGAGCAACAGAGTGCAACCCTGCCTCGAAAAATAATTTTGTCTTAGGCACATAATTATTGAGAATAATTTTCAAGAACCAGCCCTGTTTATCTGTAGGACTTCTCCCCCTCAAGGTTAATATGTACTTTGAAGTTTCATTCATTCATTGCTGAATGTGTGTTTTGAAGTTCCAGTTACAAATGTTCATTGACAACTTGCTGAAGTTGCAACAGTGAGCAAAACAGACATTGTTGCAGCCATCACAGAGCTTACTGTTTATTGGGGGAAATACCCCCCAAAAAAGTTAAATAAATAGGTTGGGCATGGTGGCTCATGCCTGTAATCCCAGCACTTTGGGAGGCCGAGGTGGGAAGATCACATGAGGCCAGGAGTTTCAGACCAGCCTGGCCAACATGGTGAAACCCCATCTCTACTAAAAAGACAACAAATTAGTCTCAGCTACTTGGGAGGCTGAGGCAAGAGAATTGCATGAACCTGGGAGACAGAGGTTGCAGTGAGCTGAGATCATGCCACTGCACTCCAGCCTGGGTGACAGAATGAGACAATGTCTCAAAAAAAAGAGAAAGAACTTAAACAAATATATAAAATAATGAATTATAAATGTGAAAAAGTAAACATTGTGCTAAGATACAGATTAATGGGGGTGGGGAAGACCTACTTTAGATGGATCTGATAGTTGCTTTATTGTGTGTTAGAGCTGAGTGATATAATAAAAATAAATATTTGGTTCCTGACACACAGCTCCTAAAACCCTTGGAATCTCTGGAGTGATAAGAACGTATGCTAAAAGACGACTGGCAGTGGGTGTCCCTAGATAGCTTCAGGATTGGGGCTAGTTTCCAGAAAGGCAAGGCATGATTAGAGGCTTGGAAGTTTCAGCCCCACTGCCTGACCTGTGGGGAGGGAAGAGGAACCTGAGATCCACTTAATCACCAATGCCAGTGATTTAATCATTCATGCCTACACAATGAAACATCCATAAAAACCCTAAAGAACGGGGTTCAGAGAGATTCCAGGGTTGGTGAACACATCAAGATGTTTGGAAGGTGGCACTCCCAGGGAAGGCATGGAAGCCCTTTCCTCAACCCATGTCTTGCCTTATTCATCTCTTCCATTTGACTGTTCCTGAGTTATATCCTTTATAAAAAAACCATTAATAGGGCTGAGTGCAGTGGCTCACACCTGTAATCCCAGCACTTTGGGAGGCCAAGGTGGGTGGATCACCTGAGGTCAGGAGTTTGAAACCAGCCTAACCAACATGGCAAAATTCCATCTCTACTAAAAATACAAAAGATTAGCTGGGTGTGGTGGTAGGCGACTGTAATCCCAGTCACTCAGGAGGCTGAGGCAGGAGAATCTTTTGAGCCCAGGAGGTGGAGGTTGCAGTGAGCCGAGATTGTCCCACTGCACTCCAGCCTGGGCAACAGAGCAAGAATCCATCTCAAAAAATAAAATAAATAAACCATTAATAGTAAATAAAGCCTTTCCCTTAGTTCTGTGAGCCATTCTAGCAAATCATGAAACATCAAGAGGGAGTAGTGGGCATCCCCAGTTTATAGCTGCTGGTTGGTCAGCAATACAGGAGGCAAGCTGGGACTCACAACTGGCATCTGAAAGGGAAGCAGTCTTGTGGGCTGAGCCTATAACTTGTGGGATCTCATGCTCATTCCAGGTAGACAGTGTCAGAGTTGAATTGAATTGTTGGACACTCAGTTGGTATCTGGAGAGCTGGAGAATTGGTTGGCATGAGAAAAAAACCCACACATTTGGCATCAGAGATATTGTGAGTGAAAATAGTTCAGAGGCTGCCATAACAACATACTACAAACTGGGTGGCTTACACGATGAAAATTTATTTGCTCACAGTTCTAGAGGTTAGAAGTCCAAGATCAAGGTGCTATTCAGAGTTAGATTTCTGGATTTCCGGTGAGGCCTTTTTTCCCTGGCTTATAGACAGCTGCCTTCTTGCTGTGTCCTTATGTGTCTTTTCTTCTGTAGACACACACACACACACACACACACATACACACGACTCTCTGTTGTCTCTCTTTTTAAATTAAATTTTATTTATTTATTTTTAATGTTTAAAATTTGAGACAGGGTCTTAATCTGTTACGCAGGCTGGAGTACAGTGGCACAATCTCAGTCTGTGGCAGCCTCCACCTCCAGGGCTCAAGTAATCCTCCCACCTCAGCCTCCTGAGTAGCACCGACTACAGACATACTCTACACACTCATTTATTTATTTATTTTTTTTTTGTAGAAACAGAGTATTACTATATCGCCCAGGTTGGTCTCAAACTTCCAGGCTCAAGCAATCCTCCCACCTTAGCCTCCCAAAGTGTTGGGAGTATAGGCATGAGCCACTTTACTTGGCTTCTGTTGTCTCTTCCTCTTCTTTTTTTTTTTTTTCCTTTTGAGATGGAGTTTCACTCTTGTCACTCAGGCTGGAGTGCAATGGTGCAATCTTGGCTCACTGCAACCTCCACCTCCCAGGTTCAAGCGATTCTCCTGCCTCAGCCTCCCGAGTAGCTAGGATTACAGGTGTAATCCCATGCCCAGCTAATTTTCTTTGTATTTTTTGTAGAGACAGGGTTTCACCATGTTGGCCAGGCTGGTCTCAAACTCCCAACCTCAGGTGGTCCACCCACCTCCGCCTCCCAAAGTGCTGGGATTACAGGTGTGAACCGCCCCCAGCCTGTCTCTTCCTCTTCTCATAAGGACAAAAATCCTATTGGATTAGGGCTCCACCCATATGACCTCATTTAACCTTAATTACTTCACTGAAGGCCCTATCTCCAAATACAGTCACATTGGGGGTTAGAGTTTCAACTTGAGAATTTTGGATGAGGGACCTAATTCAATCCATAACAGACAGTTGATGGGGGAAGGCCTCTCAGAGGAGGTGACATTTCCAGTGAGACTGAAAACAACTACAGGAATTTG